TTGCAGCTGGCCCCCATTGCTGCAGTTTGATTTCTTGAGCTGAGTTAAGGCTTCCCTCCTCTTTTGTTCTTCCCACTTCATGGCTGTAGTTTTTAACTTCCCTGCCCATGCACCTTGGGCTAGGCCACAGGTGTGGAAAAGCATGTTGGGGACTTGTGTAGAGATGGTCTTTTCCTGTCCGAGAGAAGAAAAGGGGATTTTGCAGTAGCCTGGGGTGATGTTCACCCACCCTTTTCCCAGCATTGCAGCATGAACAGAACTGCAGAGGCAGGGAGTCATCTGTGCCATGTGTTAGTTGTTAATTTTAGCTTTACCATAACTCTTGACGACAGGGCTTGGTTGTTTCCTACTGTAGGCAGCATGTAGCAGTTATCCTGGAGATACGGTGTGGCTGTAAGGCAGTAAAGCTGCAGCTCATCCCTGAGCTGTGGCGTGCTGTCAAGGAGTGGGATAGCCAGATTCTCCCTCTGATTCACACAGCTGCTGCGTACTGAAGTTGAGAGGCCATATGGTACCATTTTTCTTGCATTTGTGCTAAACCCTTGACTTCAGGTTAAGTGAGGATGGCATCAGGCACAGGCTGAGTTTGACACATGTCTGAGGACAGAGTTTGCCCAAAAGTTGGTTATATATCTGCCATTATACATACCCCATTTAATCTTTGCCTACTGCCTTTTTCCTAATTCTGGGTACGTGGTACAGTCTGTATGATGTACCAGCCTCTACTGGCATGGTCAAAAGGGCATCCCAGGATTTTACATATATGTCCCAAGCTGAACTTTTTCTAATGTGTAGGCCGCTACAGTGAACTCCTAGAGTACATTATAGCAGGGTGAACAAAAATCGTGTAACTTTAGTATCTCCTCTAGGTTGTTACTGATACCTTTTCTTGTTATAATGCATTGCATTTGGTCTCTTGAGTCTGGACCAAAACAATTGATTACATGAGAAAATACCTGTCTTATTTTGTCCTGGTGCTGATACTAGCATTTTGCTAATGCATGAGTTGGCCAGAAAGCATTATGCTCTTCTGATGGCTGTGTTGCTGTACGGTGCCGGAGGCTTGCCGGGTTGCATCCAGAGATGATGTTCTGCGGTGAAGCTCAGTGAAGTGGCCTGGTTAAAGGTGTAAGGAGTGCTGGCAATGTGCAGTAGTTAGCTCCAGCAGGGAGTCTCTGGGAGCTCCATCTCTTTCTAGTGTCACTTTTGTTGGTGGCCTTTTGCTGTGTTCCACAGGGTGTGTTTGTTCAGTATCCACTCTCATGTTTGGTTAAACACTATGCGAGGATGCAAAAATCCCTTCACTGCAATGAAGGAACACTGTGACGCTGTGCCCTCACTCAGCCAACCTTTATGCAAACTTTGGGTATATGCAATATCTTATAACATCTTTTTCTAACCAGAGAGACATGAGATCTGTAGAAGAGCTGATGACCTGGGTGGAAATGCAACAGTTGATGTGTTAAAGAACTTGAAGCACAGTTGACTACTTAGAATAGAGGTGTCAGGAGGGATAGGGAATCGTATAAAAGCTGAAGCAGTTGACCTGAAATCATGTCAAGTAAAGTGTCAGAAATGAGACATGCTTGCTCTGTAACAGAACATTCTTCATAGGCAGTTTAACAAGCTTTGGAATTAAATCTGGAAAAAAAAAAAGTGATGTAGCTGTTATGTCAAGGCTTTCACAAGCTTGCAGTGTGCAGTCTGGGCTGTGACTGGTGGAAAACCAGACCCAAACAGCCATGTAATCAGTGCTTTTCCTATGCAGTTATGAGCTCACTATACTCACACCACAGCTGCATATATATTTTCCAAGATACACTTTTGGAATTATACATGCGCTTTTTTAGTATGCTAATTGTCTCTGTGGTCATTCATTCCTGGAGTTAATGACTAGTCCCTTAAAGAAAACGAGTTAACAAACTGACAGCTGCTCGTAACAAATCACTTGCTGGAGAGGCCAGTGTAAGTTTAGCATCCCCAATAAATTATTCTTTTGCTTCTGATGGTTCAGTGGAGCAATGGCAAAGAAATGAGGCAATAACTTCATTTATCAAAGCGGTTCATGGCTGTAGTAGATTTGTGCATGAGAGCTCATAGGCAGAAATGCCAGAGAATTGCAGACCGTGTATTTCTGTGCCTTCTTGAGTAATATCAAGAGTAAATGGGAAAAGGCAGATCTCTCGGTGTAACCTCACAGTCAGACTATCAATAGCTGCCAGTCCTGGGTACCTGGTTGGCATGAAAAGATGGGTGCAGATGCCTGGGGAAAGGACTCTCTTCTGGCTCTGCTGCCAAGAGCAAACTGCAACATCGTACCAAGACCTGACACTGAAGCAACAGATGGCTCATTTCTGGTATGGGACCTGTGTTCTCTGCTGTGTGTGCAACCCCTCCGGCCCCAGGGCTAGGAGGGACCAGGGTTATTGCAGAGCTCATGGTATGTAGTGAGACAGCGAGCCAGTTTGTGGATGCTGTGCTGCTGCTGGGATCAATTCCTGCAGCTGCTAGCTGATAGGACGCCTCTTCTGATCACGGTGTCCAAAAGTAATCAATAACCATCTTTCATCAGCAGTTAACCATTAACTTATGGTAAATAGCAGACCTTTTCCATAACCTCTAGTTACAAGTAAATAAATAGACATAACAGTCTTGGATAAAGCAACGTATATTCTGAAATTCTTATTTCCTATAGCAGACCTGAGCTACCCTAAGGACCAGTGTTTTTTTAGTACTTTGTTTGCAATGAACTGGTGGACCTAGCTGGCAGCCAGTTTGTATCACAGGTTTAGCTTGGGACATGGGTAACTGATATTAAAGTCAATAGTTCCTGCTTCACTGGAACTCTGAAATCATGTTTAGGATTTTAAAAAAGTATAATCTAGTGTTAATCTGTTGTTTTTTTGAAATTATTGTTTCATTTGGCAAATGTGTTCATAGTCCAAAATGGCAACACTGTGTTGAGCTAGTTGAATGAAAGGCTAATCTCTGTGATTTGAAACGAAGGGGTTAAAGGTACAAACACCGAGAAACCCACAATTCATGGAAGATCTTTCTATTTCAGCATTTGAATATTAGTAGTATAGGAAAACTCTTTTTTCTTCAAATACAATTTCTTTAAGTTGACAGAATACCATTTAAACCGATCACACTACACAGCACATACAGGTGGCTCCGTTAATGCTGCATGGAACCAAAACAGTTTGGTTTCAGAAATGGTGTTTAAAATGTGTCTTTGAATAGCTTGTGGCAGCAGGGGCAGAGGTATTCATGGGCATCGTGTTGTCTGTGACTGTTGCCTCGTTTGGAGCCTGGGAGAAGTCTCAGCTGTATTACCGGGTACTGCTCTCCTGCCAGGTTTACTCTTCTCTGTACAGCTACCTGCTGGGGACAGACAGCACTTATGTCCCTGTGGCATGGCAGCTTCGGCCAATTCGTATACTGGGAGTGAATAAAAGCAAAACCCACGTAAACTGAATGGAGACTCCAAGCACTTTGTTAGCTTAATTTTGTTCTTTGTGCTATTAAAGTTTCTACCAGTTCATAAATGCTAATTCCTCCTCCCTGCCCCCAGCAGCTTGCATTTGTATTTTCTATGTGTTTGTGTGTATAAAATGCTCACAGCACAGCAAGGGAGAATTTTGGATTATTAAAGCCCAATTTTGTAGTTCTCGAGTTCCGACTCTCAAATACATTAGCAGTTTTGTTGATGCTAATGACTAATGCTAAGCTTGTGCATGCATTTGTAAAAGCAGGGCCTCAAACAGCATATGGAGCACAGCAGCTTAATTACAGGTTTGCATGAGGCAAAAATATGAATTTTTGTTTCCTATTGTAGTGTGTTAAAAATCACATAGCCTTTTCCTGAGATATATTGTATTGCTACAATTGAATAGAGACCAATAGACATTTCAGAAAAACTTAAAATCGATGGTCCTGAGTATGTGACAGGAGGACATGGATTCTCCAGCATTTAATTTCCTCTTCCTGGGGATACAGAAGCAAAGTGATTCTTGAATTATCTCCCTGCCCTGGTTTGAATAGAGAGAGGTTATACATCAATAGAAATAAATGTATAGGCAAAAGATTCTTAAAGCTATAACTGTGCAGGGAAAGTTTTTTAAAAACAAAACCCCCACCACCACCCTGAAACCCCCTCTTCGTATAGCTTATTGGAATCATGACCTTTCCTGTGAGTCTGCCTTGTGTGGAGCTAACCTCTGACTTTGCCAGTGCTAACGCTGGCTTTCATACTTTGGTCTCATGCAGACTTCATGGGAGTCATCCCCAGCATCACCAAGAGCAGGCTCAGGCAGCGAAGGTGAATTTCTGACCCCACTGAAGCAAAACTGCCAGCCACAATTTTTGCCCTTAGACCATAAGGAAGGTAGAAACCTTGCTCTTCTGTTTTGTAAGGTGCCAGGTTATGTTTATGAGGTTATCTACTACTCTTCATGGAAAGATAAAGAATTATTAAACATGACTAACAGACCCATTTTCCTGGTACTGCATGGCTTCTGCCGTGGACCAGCACTGTTGATGTTGCATTGCTGGAGAAGGACAAAGAGAAATCTTTTTGGTTTGGATTGAATTGTTTTTTTTATTTGTGACTGTTGAATGTAATGTGGTGGAGCACCTAGCTGTGAAGGTGTTGCTAAATTATTTCTTGGGCAAACTTACCAGGGACTGTGCAGATGTTTTGTCCTCTCGTTGCACCTTCCTCCTTTGGATTTCTGTCTTTCGCCAACTCAGTGGCCATGCATTGAAACACCAGTAGAGGCTTCCCCCACCTTTCATTTTGGGTTAATTTCCATGCATTTGTTTCACTCAAGCTGCCTCAGCAAGCCTACTGCTGTCTTGGATATTTGAACCTATTCAGGGTGAGGAGCTCATTGATTTAGGGCCTGATGGGTGTATCGTGAGTGTTATGAATCAATGGCCCGGAGCTGTTTTTAGGAGCTGTGGGAGATTCTAACTTTCGTTCTCTTTCTGCTTTGTAGGTATTTGTATAAAATGTGGAAAAGGTGTGTATGGAGCGAGCCAGGCTTGCCAAGCAATGGGTAACCTTTATCATACCAACTGCTTCACGTGCTGTTCTTGTGGTAAGTCAGATCTACCCTACCCTTATTAAGTGGCTTCATCTTGTAATACATACTCCTGTAGCAACCAGTGTACAAAGTGAGACCTCCTCTTGCCTGCTTCCTGAGGCAAAATTCCCATGCAAGACTCCAGCTCCAAAAGTTGTTTTTTATTTGCAATCTGTAAGTGTTCAGTGGTGTTTTCTTAAGCAACAGCCCAGAAAAGTAGTATCTGGTTGTTTACAAAATGGCTTCAACCTGGCAGTTATAAGCACTACATAATTTAAATCACTTGTGTTTATGGAACTGTAATGTGCATTTATCATTTTTACAGAAAAACGATAAAATTTGTGCAGCCAAAACCATATTTTCCCTCACTTTCTATTTTCAAATGCAACTCTAGTCAAATGGCAATGTATATTTGCTATTTCTATATGTACATAATGCTCAAAAATTGTTCTCATGTTCAAGTGTGATACAAATAGAAACTGCATGTTTAAACACCTTGAGCTATTACAATATTTTATTTTTGTAGGGGAAGACTTGCAGCTAAATCACGGTCTCTTCCTTGCTGTTTTCAGGACCTTTTTAGGTTTCTCTTTTAATCTGAATGCATCTGGAAGTGATGCATTCTGTATGTGATTTGGGCAAGTCATGGCTTCGCCAGGGGAAGCAGGACTTGGAAAATTCAGGGCAGCAGTTTCAGAAGTGTTTGCCTTAAGTCAAACATTGTGAACTTAAGTTGGAAACTTCCTCCTACAGACTTCCTTGTCTGTAACTGCTGAGAGCAGTCAAATTCCCACTGAGTTCAAGGGAAGTATGAGAGCTCAATTATCAGGAGTCAGGTAATTTTTCTTGATAGACCCACACATTTATTTAGGTTCCTAATGTATGAAAATATTTGCCTGGATGTTGAAGATCTTGTTGCAATACATATACACAGTGAAAGATTTACTCTTAGCGGAATATGCGGAGCGTAAATTGTTTACAAAAAGGATTAATTAAGGATTAGGAAAAGAGTAAAAGATTATTGGCATAGAACCAAGTAAGCTGATAATGAAAAGACCATTGTAAAGTTCACTTGTGAAAGGAGAAGTGTCATCTTTGCTCCTGAGATTTGTACAGATAAATACTGGTTTAAAGAAACCTACAACCTGAACGCAGAATTTAGTGATCTTTATAAATGTCCCTGGACCATTACCAGGTTCTAGAATGAACTCATCTCAAACCTTCAGGGATTGCTCTCGACTTCGCTCAAGTCTGACAGTGAATGAGTAGCTATTTTGTTGGCTCCCAAAGTGAACAGCATTCTCCTTAGCAGAGGATTACAAAATACGGTATCAGATAATACCTATCCACTTATAGCCAACATTAACCTACCCTAATTGCATGGGTGAATTCCAGCTTCCTCTCTGGAGCAGGTGTGGGTTTTTTTAAGTAGTCGGGATGCATGTTTGCTACCACAGGGGTCTGTACACAGGTCACTCCGTTCCTCAGAACAATGTATAAGGGCTGAGGAATGTATTTTAACAGCAAAATACAAACCCAACATAATTATTCAAAAGCACAACAAGCTTTTCTGACTGTCCTGGTGAGGTGTGTGTGGCCAGCGTACCTCTACCATAGGGCGACTTCAGACATGTCTGTTTGCAGTGTAGTTTTGCCCCACCCCACAGTACCGGTGGAATTTTGTGATTCATACAGCTTTTCCCATGAGTCACACACACACATGAGGAAAAGGTGCTTCAGGTTGTCTTCTGAGCTTCTTGCCGTACTGCTCGTGGACTGGAGAGCCCAGCTATCATCAGCCAGGATGTTTTGCAAGCAAGCAGGGCTTGCTTGCAAAAGAGGCAAACCCCTGTCTGCAACCTCTGATACCATCCCATTGAAAGGGGAATGTGTGGGACTTTCTTATGTTAGGTACTGAAAAGGTGAATCTGCTGCTAATGTGGCAGTAGTGCCTGCGTGCAGGTAAAAAACCTTGATCAAAGCTTAGGTTCAGCTACGTGCAACTGTGAGTCGAAAGCAGAGATTTTTCCTTTCAACTCAGCTCCAAAATAGTATAAAAATGAGCATAGCTGGAAAAGGGGTGTTGCATTAACTCTTTTGTTTCCCACTTTATTTGGGCCTGCGCGGTTCCTGGGGAAAACCAGAGTGATTCAGGATAGTGTCAGACCTCGGGAACGAGGCATGCAGGTCCCATCTAAGGGAATTGCATCGTGGAGTGTGCTGCTGAAAAGGCTTTACAGGACATCTTGTACAAGCAACTAAACACAAACTTCTCACAGTACTGCAGTTTATGAACAGGGAGTTTATTTTACCTTCACTGTGACATTGGTGGGACCCAGGTGAGAACTCTGCACTCTAGTTTTGGTGCCTACCTTTAAAGAGATCAGATAAAACTGGAGAGGGTCTGAAAGGAGTTACATAGATGATTAAAGGCTGGAGGAAAGCTAATTGTAGAGCCCAGTGTATTTTGGGTATTGGAAATGATGGGAGGGACATGTTGCTGGACCTTGTAAATACTTTTAGCAGAAAACGTTAGAAAGTGGTCTCATACATACTAGAGACAAACACAAGAGAGATCTTTCTGGAGGCTGAAATTATGCAATTCAAATAGGAAATCAATGATAGTTTTTATACAATGAGGATGATTAACTGCTGGAACGAAATAGCAAGAGAAGTGGCAGATTCTCTATTCTTCTTTGTTTTCAAATTAAGACCAAATGTCTCTTTGGAAAGTGTTTTAAGTTGAGCCAAGCTTTTACATCCGATACATAGGTAACTGGGTGATCATTTATGACCTTTGCTAGGCATGAGGTCACAGTGCATGGACTAATGCTCCTTCTGAGCATTTGACAGGAGAGTGGAGAAGTACGTTAGTACTCTCTGCCTAAAACAGTTCATATGCACCAATTCCTATGTATACTTATAAATCAGAGATAAAGTAAGAGCACAAGCTTGCCTTTCTTTTTTTTCCCAAATAACAATCATGATCCAAACCTTCCTCTAGCAGTTATCAATCTTACTTTCAATATAATGAATCTATAAGTAGAAGGCAGTAAGTGAAGAAGAAAAATTCTGTACCTGAAGACACCTGATTTAGATGAGGGACCAATATTTAACAAGTTACAATTAAAAAATAATAAAATTCAAACCGTAGGGAGAAGCTGTGGTTTGGAGACCACTCAGGCTGAAATGTGGTAATAAGTGATGTAGCCTCCAAGGGCCTTGTTTCAGCACTCAGCAGTGAATGTTTTCAGCTCAGCAGACAGGCGCAGTTATGCAGAGAATTGGGAAGAGACCTTCCAGTAGGACTTGGGCTTGGGCAGAATTTCCTTTCTTAGGCACTTCTTTGAGTTTAACTTTGGTTTCAGTGCCATTTGTTAGGGTGCCCTGGTTGAACAGGGCAGCGCGTGGCAGAATGGGCCATCCGGTGCCTCCCAGGGAGCATACAGCGCTTGCCCCAGTGCTGTCCTCCTTCACTTCCACATCATGTATCACACCGTCGCTGGAGGGTTTGTGTTGCTTCTAATTAAGAGGAAAACCTAACACATGCTCTGTGAGGACTCCAGCCTTACTAGGGTAGAAGTCTGGGGATGCAAGGATAGGTTCTCAGGGCTCTTCTGCAGTCATAGCGGTTAGCTCTTGAGAATGTAAATGCAGAAAGAGGAGGAAATGTTTCAGAGATACAGTAAATAAACAGGAGACTTCTGTCCCCTTTAGATGTTTTGGTAAAATGCTCAGATGGTGAATCTCATCATTGTCTTCCTAGGTTCTGGCAACTTTGGAGTAAAACTCAGTAATATATTGATTCAGAGTTGTACAGGATCTCCTCAAAAACAAAAAGGAAATCTTGCCAGTGAGCTGAGGTCAGAAGTAGAATGGAAAGGAAAAGTAAGTGACCTAGCGAGCAGGCACGTTTTATGTTTTCAAATAAAATGCTCTGTCTGCCTCTTTCATATGTTCAGTGGGCTTTGGATAGTTGAGCCTTGCTCCCACAAATGAGCAAGTTCAGCATCTCAGAACTTTGCTCTGTCAGTTAATTTTTGTTATGTCTCTGTGTAAACCCCTGTTACCTTCTGCAAAAAGCAATGCTCCTCAGATAGCTTTTTTTCAAAGGTCAGATAATTCTTTTCAAGTAATGTAAAAGCCAAAGCGATCTGGTTTCCGTGGGATCAAATAGTTCAGCATAGATCTTTATCCACAATCTCTTAGAGAAACAACTGAAGCTTGTTAGGATGGTTTTTAAATGTAGATTCAAATCTTCTCTCAGTCCTAATACCAGTAGAACCTCTTTTAGGCCTTGATTCAGCAAAACACTTAAACATGTGCTTAAATATGGTATATTACTCATATATAAGCATGCTTTGCTGAATCTTAAATAACAGAGATGAATTTGGGCAACAACACACACTGTCCCTTCTGTGAAGTGTAAAATTTTAGTTTTGGCAGGAGTTCAGCTGTAGATTTTGCTTGTGGAAGACAAGAGCTGAAAAATGTCTGCCTGAAAAGCTCATAATCTAATCTCTCCTGGTAGTATTTCAGAGCATGACAGGGTTTCTTGAAGAACAATTGCAATAATGCCAGATAGCTTGTGTGCTCTAAGTGCAGGTGATCAGTTGCAAGAATTAATGGGCTCTCTTTGATACTCATTACAGAAAATAACTTATCAGATGCCTCGAGTTTGCAGATCATTATGCCAACCACAGCATCGTTTCAGGCTGAAAATTTTAATCCAGTGGCAATGACTGTAGAAACTGCAGCAAGATAAATCTTTACAATGAGGAATATTGGTTTGTTATTTGTTACTCTGAGGGTGTAGGAGATGGGCAGGGAATGAACTTTGCAGAGCTAAGGGTTTGAAGTCTCTGTACTCTCAAAGCTGAGACATACCTCATCATGAAAACCAGGAACACTTTCTACTCCCTTACATGAAGGCAAATGTTTGAGCATGCCGTTTGTCTTTAATTTGCACTTTTGCCACTTGTTTTAAGGCACAGGAAATCACCGCAAGATCAATC